TTCTGTAGTCCATAGAAAGACCTGATCTACATCTGACTGGAGGTTTGCCGTGTCCTCTATGTTGCCTACTCTCATGCAGATCCTAGTGTCATCTGCAAAGGATGATACAGTGTTATAGGTTGTGTTCTTGTCTATGTCCGATATGAGGATGAGAAAAAGTACTGGAGCAAGCACAGTACCCTGGGGGACTGAGCTCTTCACGGTTGATGGGCTGGATTTTATTTTGTTGACTATTACACATTGGGTTCTGTTGGTCAGGAAATTGTAGATCCATCTGCCTATTTTTCCGGTAATTCCTTTTGAACGCATTTTATGTGCAATAACACCATGGTCACATTTATCAAAAGCTTTTGCGAAATCTGTGTAAATTATATCAGCGTTTTGTTTGTCTTCCATAGCATCTAATGCCATATCATAGTGGTCCAGCAACTGCGACAGGCAAGAGCGCCCTGTTTTGAAACCATGTTGTCCGGGGTTGTGGAAATGCTGTGATTCCATGTATTTTGTGATCTTACTTCTGGCATGGTGAGGACTGGTCACAAAGCCCCAGCCAAGACACGACGTGTCTGTGAACACATCAAGCGAGGGCTAGGGTAGGCGCCAAGGCATTGATTCCCGAAAAACCCGAAGAGGAAGCCGGTGACGCAGCAGCCGACGTAAGGCCCCCCAGAGGCTGAACCCAGCGATCGCTAGAGAGGCAGAAGAAACCATAGCAGCCGATGAAGCCAAACCCAACCCGGCAGGTAGACCATCACGGCAAAGTTCAGGCTCCCGCACAAACACTCGAGCATCTGCCAGGTGACCAGTAAGCTCTCCAAAAACTAGCAAAGGCGGGACTGCAGCCGAAGCAGAGAAACCAGAGGGAGAGACAAGGAAGCAGTCCGAGAGTCCCACACAAGATCCAGCCAAGACTAAACCTGAGAGGGACCCAAATGGACTTCCTCCAGTTCACCAGGAGCCTGATCCCAGCGAGCCAGGAAAGAACCAAATCTTTGGTGAGCAGACACACGGACTGGCTGGGGTCCTAACACCAGCCAGTTGTTGAGGTAGGCCAGAACCCGAACCCCTAACAGATGTAAACGTCCCACCACAACCCGGATAAGGCATGTGAACAAGCAAGGTGCCAGATTGAAGGTGAGGTGCCAGCTGAATGGAAGGCAATGAAAGCGGTAAGCCTGTCGCCCCACGACATAACCGAGCCAATTCCTGAACCTTGGATGAATCGGGACGTGCCACTACACATCCCAGAGGTCCAGGGACACCATCCAAGTGCCCGGCTCCAAAAGCAGCCGGACCTGGGACAGTGGTCATCTGAAAGGAGGGGCAAAAGACCCAGAGGTTCAGATGGGAGAAGTCCAGAATGAACTGCAGGTCTGCACAGTCCCGTTTCGGAACTGGAAAAAGAGGCGGGAAACCCACCTGAGTGACACCGTCATTTCGACCACACCCAAGCGAACCCATTCCAGGGTGGGTGGGGGATGGAGAACTTAGAATGTGCCTGGACTCCAGGATAACCCGACAGAGCGCAGCAGAAGAGGCCAGCCCCGCCAGCCCTGAATCCCCCAAAGGATTAGGAGCCACCCAACACCACTACAGGCCGGAAGGAAATGACCCGAAATGCCCACGAATTCTGAGTTCAGGCGAGAGCAAACAGAGCGAGCCTTTCCCCTCCTCCCCCATCGCCCCATCAACAAGGCAAACCGCCAAAAGGCCGGCGACTCGTACGAGAACCAGACCAACGCTCAGAGCAATCACTGCTCTGACCAGATGCCAACAGCCATGCAGGAGGGGGCCGGCCCTGAATCTGGCACAACTGGCTTATGATGATCGAAAGAACCCCAAGCCCTGACACAACCCTTTTGGGCAGGACCCCCCCTCCCCCCTTCCATCCGGAGAATCAACAAGTCAGACATAGGCTAGCAACTAGACAAAGCCGCCCGCAGAGAATGCACCACCTCAGACTCTGCAAACAGTAACGGACAAAAAGGGGACAAAAACCTAAGTGCCAGGGCCCAAGTGGATTCCAAAGAGTGGACGAGCACCACCTGCTAGCACCCAAGGCGGGAAGCAAAGAACAGCGACACCACTTCTTTCAGAATCGGCACAAACAACTTCAACACGGCAGCCGACGCCCGAGCCGCTGAGGCAAGTGCACCAGACACAGGCCCGAATCCTAGCTCCTCCACATCCTCCTCGAGCCATTCCAAAGACAGCCCCAGCAGTGAAAAAGAAGCGCAAGACCGAAGTCAAATGCCCACGGGCGCAAAAATCCTTGGCCACCAGGGACGCCAAAAGGGAGGGGACCTGCACGTGAAGCTGCACCTGACCGACGTCACGAGGAAGCACGCATTGAGGTGCTTAAACTCGCCCCCCAGATAAACCTGAATGACTGTAGTCAACTCCCACCACTCAAGGGTGTAGGTCCAACAAAACCCATGCTACACCCCCCCCCCCAATGAAAAGAAAGTGGGGCAGTCTGCCAGCCAGGAAGACTCTTGGCACCTCGTAACACACCCAGTAAGGAAAAGAGGAGCCAAACTCAAAAGAAGAAGGATCCACTATCAAGGCATAATCCGGGTCTCGCATGAGGTAAGCCGCAAAGACTTCCCACTCCTCCCTTGGCAGGATGCGGAAAGCCGAAAACCTCCGGAAGGTGGAAACAGGGGGACCCAAGGGAACCCAGAATCCAGGTCTCCCAGGAGGTAAGTCACAAGGGCCTCCTGTTCCTCCCTCGGCAGGATACGGAAAGCCGAAAACCTCCGGAAGGTGGGAACCAAGGAACCCAAGGACACCCCAAATCCGGGTCTCCCAGGAGGTAAGTGGCAAGGGCCTCCCGTTCCTCCCTCGGTGGGATGCGGAAAACCAAAAACCTCCGGAAGGAGGGAACCGAGGAACCCAAGGAAACCCAGAACCAAACCCGGGGAGGAGTGGAACATATATAAAACTCGTAGAGGGAGGGGGGGGGGAAGGGATAGGAAAACCCCTCCCCCTGTAACAAGAAGCCCCACACTGAGGATATCAACACCCAAGTGGGGTCAAATGGGGCCCTGGCCCCCCCCAAGACATCTTCTCCCCAGCCTTGGGATCCTCCACGTCAGGACCCAGGGCCAAGCAGTCCTCCAAACCCTCTGCTTCTGGAGAAAACGTAGAGTCGACTGGAAAAGCAGGGATGAGGGGGGGGTCCGCTGGCATGATCAAAAAGCCCCGGCAGGAGGAACAGGCTCGAATACCTCTGCCGCCAATCCACAAGGGGCAGTCCCCGAAGCCACCCGAGTCTCACTTACAACAAAAACCCTGCCCCAACTCCGAAACCCTCAGACGTTTGAGAGCCAGGAGCAAGGGAGGGGGGGTTAAGAGCAGCATGAACCACAGCAGGGGAAGGACAAGGAGGCGCAGACGAAACCAAAGTCGAGGTGATTAACACCCCCAAGTCCAAGTTCCTATAACCAAAGCGTGGCAGCCATAGTTATCTGGAAAGGCAACCAACCAAGCTCATTACAGCAACCTAAACCCGCGCATGCAATGCTGAAGCTGCCTGCACCCGAATATCAACATCTATGGACTGAGTGAATTGGAGTACAGGCAATAAACACCACTGGCAGAACTCTGGGTCAAAGGTGTCATTAATCCAACGGGCACCATGGCGGAGGCAAAGACAATGAGTGTCACACTGAGTCAAGGGGACAGAGCAACCTTCAAACTCACACGAAGTGAGGTGGAACTCAAAGGTCTCCTCTATTGGACCAATGAGCCCCAATGGGGGTTTCCAGGGTTTCCAAGGCTTCTGCTTGCTTTCCCTTAGGCTGACAGCTAAGGGAAGCCCAGGCAAGGTACTGCTAACTGGTTATCCCAGAGCTAACCAAGCAAACAAACAAAAGCTGAGCCCCTGGGATGTGTGCAATCATGGGGACCTAGCAGAGGAGCCACCAAAATCATACAAGTGGTCCAACAGCCACACCAGGCAGACCCCCACCAGGCAAAACAAAAGAAAAACTTTGCAAAAGCACAACGTCTCCAGGGAACAGAACCAGCCGTTATGTGTATATCAGACAGCTGCACAGTGCCTTGCACCCCCAGTCAGCGATGATATTATCTCCTACCCAAGGTCAACAGGAGTAAGAACAACTCCAGCTGAAACCCAAGGGTGGGCAATTACCGAGCAGCAAAAGAACCACACGGAGGTAGTCTCCTGAATGGCTTATGGATGATAACCCTAAACTGCAAGGGCAGTACTTACAGAGCACCAAGGAAAGATGGCCCAAGGTGCATGCAGCCCCAGTACTCTTGTGTTATTCCTGGCTTGCACACCACCACACAGTAGAATAACACCGTTGTGGACAGCACTGCTCAAAAGGATGGAACCAGAGTCGATCAACCGCCACCAAACACAACAGTCTGTGAACTGGGGGTTGGGTAGCTGGTGTGCAAGGTCTGGGACCCCCCTCCCCTCCCCTTCCCCCTCCAGGGGAGGGGGTAGTGCAGACAGCGGAGCGGTGGCTGTGGTGGCATCATGCTTGTTTGCTTGTTTTCGGTTAGGGGAGTTCTGCTTGCTAGTTTGGCTTTTGATTTGCAATTTTTAACCAGCTGTAGTTTGTTTTAGAATTCCTACCTTTCTGGGTGCCTGACCTGGTAGATGGCAGACATAGATTGCTTCCAATTACACAGGGCTGTCTATAGGCCATTGTTCCTCGTGCCTCTCTTTAGGGGGCCAGGTTCTGGCTCTGGTCCTCGGTAGACCTAGAACGCCATCAATTGACTGTTGCCACTGTCTAATATATACAAATCAACCCGGAATAGCTCCGGGGAGCCGAAGGGGTTACCACCAAAAAGAAACGTTATGCCAGTATGAATATACATGCAAGGTATTAGTACAAAATGTACTTAGAAATGGTCAGTTAAAACTGATACAATTACTCTCACTTAGAGAACCAGATGAAAAATTTATCACCTTGAGGTAGAACCACAATTAGTTTGATGACACTAAGAGGCCATAATCTTACCTGCAGCCTGCTTAGCCTTGCCATAATTGTCAAACACGTACGGATATCTCACTTCTGGGGCATTATCACGATCACACCGTTTGAAGAGGTAAGCCTGAGATGCTTCACGCAAGGCTGTTTCCCTGTCAAATAAGAAAGTAATTACTTTTTTGTGTGTATGAATGAAGGATAATTCTGTGAGATAAATCTTTCAGCATGAGGAAACACAGTGCTGTAGCAATATAGGAGTATGCTCCAGATCTACTTCAAATGGTTGGTTGGTTGTAATGGAGTTCAGGTTAAGGCCACATGCTGGGGTGGGGCCAATTCGGAGCGTTGCATCATTGGAACCCGGAATTACACTGCAACTGTCACACTCCATTCACAATAAAGAGGATGTATACACAATATATAATTTAGTATAAATTGACAAAAATACTATTTCATTTCATACTTAAGTATCTCCTTTTATAAGACCAGCAATAAGATAACAATTAATGCCACAGTGGCTTTAAACACAAGTGGTGGTACTCCCACGCCCTCTGCGGGACAACCATACCATACATCTCTACACAGTTCTTACTCCAGACTACATAACACACACACAAGTGGTGGTACTCCCACGCCCTCTGCTGGACAACCATACCATACATCTCTACACAGTTCTTACTCCAGACTACATAACACACACACAAGTGGTGGTACTCCCACGCCCTCTGCTAGACAACCATACCATACATCACTACACAGTTCTTACTCCAGACTACATAACACACACACAAGTGGTGGTACTCCCACGCCCTCTGCTGGACAACCATACCATACATCACTACACAGTTCTTACTCCAGACTACATAACACACACACAAGTATGACACAAGTCTCTACTCTGCACTACAATAAATAATGGATCAAAATGAATTAACTTGAATTTTCCAATTTCTAGGATGGTTATCAAGGATAATATTTTAAAATGCTCAATAGAGTGACATTTTACTGTACTTTAAAACATATATAACATGGAACACAATATGACTAAAAATAACATAAAATATGATTGAAGAAAATACATTTTCCTTGCATAGCTGTCTAACACTAAACCCTATAATCTGACAAAGAAAAAGACAAGAAGAGTGATGAACACATATATTTTATTGGATTGTTGATTTATGGAACAAACCCAGTGTTAAATGTACTGAAATGCCTCATTCTGGAAGAGCACCAGTAGCTTCCTGAAGCTATCTCACTGAGAGTGGTTCATGCAAATGGGTCACATCACATGCAGTTCTGTTTGGCCTACTGGATACCAAAGCCAAAACCTGCCCCTCCCCCATCTTTTCTCATAGAAGTGCAGAGAGCAAGTGACAATTTGACATCACACTGGGAAAGTATCCAGAAAGTCAATGAAGCTATACAGATAACTGGAAGGTTAACAAAGACCTAATGAGAAAATCCGTAGGAGTCACGATAAGGATTCAAACCTATGCAGTGGTTCGGTGAAATACAAACCATGGAAAAGGATAAGCCAACCAGGTGTCCATCAAGGAAGAACCGGTGAGCTGCAGGTAGCAGCAAATCGCTGCAACCATACACACCAAGTGATGCACCTCCAGCTGGACCAACAAAGCATCGGTAACCAACGGACCCCTCCGAAGGCTGGCAGATTCATTTTATGCCAGAACAAAAATAAGGCTACAATGGAACAAACCAGGGCTGGTTCCTTCACCAGGACTGAAGGAACAAAACTCCCCTCTCCAGAGAGGAGATGGGGTTTTCTAACTCTAACAATCAATCAATCAATACTTTAGGAGTCTAAAGTTCCCCAAACACATTACAAGCCAAAGTGGGGCAGAGCCCCACAGGACAACAAAGAACAAAAGACAGGGACAAAAGTCACTGAAGACCCACACAAAGTGACCAAACACACCACACCAAACCCCCTTTTAGGAGCCATCGACTCAATCCTGCCAAGCGGGGAAGAGTAAAACAAGGATAGAGCAGTGAACAAGGGTGGTGGAGTGAGCAGATTATCCCAATAAGATACTTACTCCAAACGCATTAGCCTAACGAGAGAAGCAAAGCTCTACGGAGGACCAATCATGGAACTCAAACCGTTCCAAACTTCCAGTTAATATGCCTGCCAACCTTTGGAGAACGGCAAGGTATTGCCCGAGCATAGAAGCAGCAGAGTAGCGAATAATAACTAGTCGACCTGCAAGTGTGGTCTAGAACAGACACTTGCAAGAAACCGTACCGACTCTCAGTGCGCTGAACTCGCACCATTGCCCACCAAAATAACACCCACATACCACTGTATACGCAACAAAACATATGTAGCCTCTGAGTGGTTGTGTTTATTGTCACGAATCGTCACGAAACAATAGAACTGGGACAGAGGCACATGCCACCCTTGCAGCACATTTTGGACACGAAACAATGAGCATAAAAGGGATAAGTGTAGAAGCGGGGAAGACCTGAGGAATGACCGGCACGGTAACAGGTTCGGTGATTCGCGGAACCAATTACCGCGTAACGTGGTGGTGGGGCCCCACGATTTGTGCAAAAGTGGGTTGGACATGTATATGAGCGGGAATGGTTGGGAAGAAATAGGAGCTGCCTCGTATGGGCCAAGAGGCCCTCTGCAGTTTCTCTGGTCTTATGTCCATATGGTCGTATGCACAAGGGGACACAGGAGGAAGCCAAGTACCCAAAGGAGCCACAGACACGAAAAAGAACCCGATCAATGTCAGAGGGGAAAGGAAGCAGAAAGCACTAAGAAGCTATGTGGTGGAGGCAGACTCCACCCACAGGAGCAACCGTAGAGAAGACAGAGCCCAGGAGGTTCAGGAAACTGCACAACTGTCAACTGACAGAAGAGGCAGGGCCCAAGAGCCAGAGCTCAACCCCCCGCAAGCAAAACTAGGCAAGCTCCCCACCAAAAAGTGAGAACCAGCACTAGGCCAACAGAGGTGCCAGACATGACAACCTCACCTGCAGAGCACACACACAACCATGCCACAACACAGGCAAGCCAAGTAACATACCAGGAGAGCGCTAATGGTGTGCCCGAAAGCCAAGCATACTCGAGGCAGTAGGCATGGAATGTACCGTTACCTGAATAAAATTCGGAAGTCGAAGGAGAAATACGTCCAGAGGCGCGCGCCCCGCAGAAGACAGAGCAGGACAGAGAGGGAGGAAGCGGCACCACACCGAGCCATCCCACACCCGGAAGCAGAGGAAGAACGTAGTGACACCCCCAGACATATGTCCAGAACACCCTTAGCATCCAGAGGACCATGACCGGAGGGAGAAAACATGCAAGAAGCAGTGGAAAAATCACGAGAAACGACGCGAACACATGAGCATACCGCCCATAAACAAAACGCACACTGCGACCCCAGCACACGAGGTACAAACGCACCACCCGTCCACCGGGAGGCGTGGCTCGTACACCATATTAACTTTATTAATATCTGCTTGTCGTTTTTCAATATATTCAGCAGAGGTAATTTTCAAGCTGATATTTGTGTTATCTGCAAAGGATGATACGAAGCTGTGCCTTGCATTTGAGTCTATATCTGATATGAGAATAAGGAAAAGCAGTGGTGCAAGGACTGTACCTTGAGGTACTAAGCTTTTAACTGCGCTTGGACTCGATTTTATATGGTTGACTGTTACTCTCTGTGTTCTGTTCAACAGAAAACTGAGTATCTAGCATCCTACTTTGCCAGTTATTCCCATTGACATCCTTTTGTGTGCTATCACTCCATAGTCACATTTATCGAATGCCTTTACTAAATCCGTGTATACCACATCTGCATTCTGTTTTTCTTCTAATGCCTCAGTGATTTTGTAGTAATGGTCAAGTAGCTGTGAGAGGCATGATCTTCCTGCTCTAAATCCATGTTGACCTGGATTGTGGAGGTCATTGGTCTCTATGAAACTAGTGACCTGACTCCTGATCACTCGCTCAAATACCTTTATTATGTGGGACGTTAGTGCAACTGGTCTATAATTCTTTGCCAATGCTTTGCTACCTCCCTTGTGTAGAGGGGCTAAGTCTGCTGCTTTAAGAGCATCTGGTATCTTCCCTGTGTCCATGCTCTTCCTCCACACTATACTGAGTCCCTGTGCTTCTGGCATTTTGCATTTCTTTATAAATATTGAATTCCATGAGTCTGGAGCCAGGGCTGAGTGCATGGGCATATTGTCAATTTCTCTTTCAAAATCTGCCACGCTCGTGTTGATATCAGTTATATTTACAGGGGTTTGGATATCAAGCATAAAGAAGTTGTCCGGATCTTCCACTTTCATGCTGTGTATCGGGGTGCTAAACATGTCCTCATACTGCTTTTTTAGGATTTCACTAATTTCTTTGTCATCCTCAGTGTATGAACCTTCACTAGTATGAATAGGTCCAATACTGGCAGTGGTTTTTGCTTTTGATTTAGCATGTGAAGAAATATTTTGGGTTTTTCTTTATTTCTTGAATTGCTTTCTGTTCTAGTTGCCTTTCTTCAATCCGATATGAATGCTTCAGTCTCTGTTCGATTTCTTTAATCTCCCTGTTTAAATTATTTCTTCTTTGTATGGAATGTCGTGTCTGCTTCAGCATTTCCGTTAACTTTTCTCTTCTTTTGTAGTGTCGTCTGCGTTCCCTTTCTACGTTGGGCCTCTTTCTGGCGTTCCTCAAAGGAACATGTTTCAGACAGACTGCATAGGCTTCAGAAGTCAGTTTTTTCTATTCCTTGTGAAGGATTTTTATTACTTAGAACATTTTCCCATTAATGTTCGTAAGTTCCCTGTTTATTTTTTCCCAGTCTATCCTTTTATTATTAAAATTGAATTAATTGAATAGCCCTTCTCTCTTGTTTCTCTTGGGCCTACTACCGTTACTGATGTTAGTTTGCACTTCAATGAGCTTGTGGTCCGAGTACGTAGTGTCTGAGACAGTAATGTCTCTGATTAGCTCGTCATTGTTCATGAATATGAGGTCCAGCGTGTTCTCGTTCCTAGTCGGTTCTGTAATCTGCTGACTGAGCGATAATTTGTCACAGAATCTCAGTAGTTCTCTGACCTGTGATTGGTTATTTCCAGGTTGATTTCCTGCTATAATGTTATTGTTTACTATTCTCCATTGTAAACTAGGTAGATTGAAGTCTTCAAGGAAGATAATATCTGGTACTGGGTTTGCTAGGTTATCAAGAATATTCTCTATTTTGTGGATCTGTTCAGTGAATTCCTCAACTGTTGCATCTGGCAGTTTGTATATTAGAATAATAATTAGATTTATATTCTCTACCTTGATTCCAAGTACCTCTACCACCTCATTTGTCAAGTTCAGGAGCTCTGTGCATGCCAGCTCCTCTTTAATATACAGACCTACTCCTCCACTTGACCTATTTACTCTGACACATCTATATAATTTTGGGATCCAGATTTCACTATCCATGTGGTCTTTTGTGTGGGTTTCTGTAAATGCACAAATTTGAGTTTGATTCTATTAGAAGGCCATTTATGAGCTTAACTTTATTTCTTGACTTTGACTTTAGACCTTGTATGTTTGCAAATATGAATGATTTCCCATATTGCGTGTCACTTCTTGTGGGCTTTGGTAGTTCTCCCCCCCCCACCCCTCTCCACCCATGTCCAGGGGTTTGTTTTGATAGTGGTTCGTCCAGTTTTGGTAGTAGTGCAGGTGTTGTGTGGTGTAGTACCTGTGTGCTTGTTGATGATTTGTATTCCAGTCTTGTGGGTATCTCCCTTCCCCTCTGTAATCCTGCAGTGGTTCCATCTGACTGTTTCTCTCTCTTATATGTTCTACTCTGTTTCTGCCTTCCTCTAAAATATTTCCAGTAGTATCATATTGATCTTCCCGTCTATAACGCTGTGTACCTCTCATGTTCAGCATTTGTGTGGTGCCCATATCTTAAGAAGCACATCAACAAACTGGAAAAGGTGCAAAGACATGCTACTAAGTGGCTCCCAGAACTGAAGGGCAAGAGCTACGAGGAGAGGTTAGAGGCATTAAATATGCCAAAACTAGAAGACAGAAGAAAAAGAGGTGATATGATCACTACATACAAAATAGTAACAGGAATTGATAAAATCAATAGGGAAGATTTCCTGAGACCTGGAACTTTAAGAACAAGAGGTCATAGATATAAACTAGCTAAACACAGATGCCGAAGAAATATAAGAAAATTCACTTTCGCAAACAGAGTGGTAGACGGATGGAACAAGTTAGGTGAGAAGGTGGTGGAGGCCAAGACCATCAGTAGTTTCAAAGCGTTATATGACAAAGAGTGCTGGGAAGACAGGACACCACGAGCGTAGCTCTCATCCTGTAACTACACTTAGGTAATTACATGGAATTCCGGGCACTGGAGATTGTAACATTTTTTTGTCTCTAATAGAGAATTTACATAGTTTAGGGTGGAAGTATCTACACCCCGTTCCAAAATGGCATGTACCCCTCATCAACATGTTCCTGCATTTTTGAGGATGCAGAAAAGTGCATTTTGCACCTAATTTTCCATATTTGCATATTCCTTGTGCATAGAATTTGCAAATATTTTCAATTTTTCCTGTTTTCCTCTTTTCCACTGGTCAGGCCTATAAACTCCGGCTGGAGAAACATGCTCAAATGCTTCCATCACCACACCAGAAGGGGCATCCCCCGAAACTGCCCGAGTCTCAACACCAGCTAAACCCTGCCCTGACCCCGAAACCCTCAGATGCTTTGGAGCCAGAAGCAGGGGGGTGGGAAGGACCAGGACGAACAACAGAAGAGGAAGGACAAGGGGGAGTGGACTGAACCAAAGTCGAAGCGACTAATATCCCCAGGTCCTGGCACCTATAACCGAAACGGGGCAGTCTCGGGGCATCTGAGGTAGCGACCAACTTAGCGTGTCGCAGCATCCTAAGCCAAGCATGCAACGCCGAAGCTACCTGCACCAGAATATCATGGTCAGTGGACTGGGTGAATTGGAGTACAAACATGGCAGTACAAAACAGGCAGCATGACGGAGGCACAACTGGTGAGTGTCACACAGAGACAAGGGGACTGGTAGGGCTAAACAGCCGGGCTGTGGTGGGTATGTGGCCCTGCGGGCTGCTCCAAGCAACAGCCTGGTGGACCAAACTCTCACAAGTCAAGCCTGGCATCGGGCCGGGCTTGGGGAGTAGAAGAACTCCCAGAACCCCAGCAAGCAGGTAAGCAAGCAGGGGACAGAGCAACCTTCGAACTCGCACAAAGCAAGAGGGGACCCAGGGGTCGCATTCATCGGATCAAAGAGCCCCCCGTGGGGTTTCCCAGAGCCCTTAGTCACGTAATGTTGCTATGGGAAGGCCCAGGCAGGGTACTGCTAAACAGCACTCAAAGTTACCAATCAAACTGCTAAAGCTGAACACCTGGGATGTGTACACTCACGGGAGCCTAGTGGAGGACCACCAAGATATAAATTGGTGTGACCAAAACCAAAGGGCAGACCCCCCCCCCACCAGGCAGGAAAACAAAATCAAAAGAAAAACCCCCACAAGAGGGCAAAGTAGGCGGAACAGAGCCGGCCGCTATGAGAGGTTAAAATAAGCTGCACAGTACCCCGCACCCCTACCAGTGCTAACTACCTCTTCCCAAGGTCAAACAAGGGTGCAGAAAACACCCCAGCACACTATGGGTGGTCGACCACCAAGCAGAAAAAGACCAAGCAAGAGGTAGACCCCAAGGTGGGAGCCGGTGGCCTAGCGGACAGAACACTGGACTCGTGATCCTGTGGTCCCGGGTTCAATCCGGGGGCCGTCGAGAAACAATGGGCAGAGTTTCTTTCACCCTGATGCCCCTGTTACCTAGCAGTAAATAGATACCTGGGAGCTAGTCAGCTGTCACAGGCTGCTTCTTAGGGGTGGAGGCCTGGTCGAGGACCGGGCCGCGGGACACTAAGCCCCGAAATCATCTCAAGATGACCTCAAGAAGGTGACTTGTGGAAGGTGGCCCCAAGCCCCAAGGGCGGTATTTACAGGGCACTTAGGGAAGATAACCGTAGGCGCATGCAGCCCAAGTACTTGTGAGATTACTCCTGGCTCGCGCACCACCAAAGAAGAACTCGCACCACAATACAAGGCACAGAGGAAAGGACAGAAGTCAGGAGCCAGAGTCACACGACCTTTGCCAATCATGTCAGCCGAAGAACTGAGGTGTGGGTAGCCGGTGCTATGGGTTTGGGGCTCCCCCTTCCTCCTCCTGGGGAGGGGGGAGCTGCGCAGACGGCAGCGCGGCACCTAGTGACGTCATACTCGTTTGCTCATTTTTAATTGAAGAGTTCTGTCCACTCGCTTGACTTTCAGTAGTAGTTTCAACCAGAATAGAGATTTGTTTTTGGATGCTTACCTTTCTGGGAGCCTGACCCAGTCAATGGCAGCCATAGAATGCTCCATAGCCCCATGTGCATTTCTATAGGCCATTGCTCCTCGTGGCTCTCTGAGGGGGACAAGGTTCTGGCTCATGGTCCCCATTAGGCCTGGAACTCCACTCACATTGTCTGATGCCAAAGTCTAATAAATCCATATCAGCCTGGGATAGCTCCTGGAACCCAAAGGGGCTTCCCCAGAAAGGCAAAATTTATTCAAGGAAGTATTAAAGGCAAATTATTGTAATTCATATGAAGAAATATTTAGAGCAAGATTCTGTACACATGAAAGATTGCAAATTAGAAATGATGAAACTATTTTACCTTTTAGCTTTCAAAGTTTCTGGACTGAAGTCCTCAACAGTGTCATCTCCCGCTAATTGTTTTGCTGTCCTGAGTAACTTCTTCTCCTCTTTACGAGCTTGCTTAAGATATTGCTTTTCTGTTTCATTCATGACAGTCACTTGATTACTGTACACTGGACGATCTGACAGTCCTCGATTTTCAAGATCACCTATTAATTTGCAATTGATCAGAATTATTTATATAAAAAATTACTCAATATAAATCATATAATAAACAATATATAAAAGGTTAAGATTTGAATTAGTTTGACACAATTAAAATACTTACTTAACAGTTGTGCAATTTTCATATCTTTGTCAGGAGGAGGATTCTTGATCTGTGACCTGTGTTCCAGCAATGTCTGGATAAGTTCGAACCTCTCAAATCCTAAAAGGTCAAACATCTGCAAATGGAAAGAGTCCAATAAAAAAGTTGAGAACAACAGTATCAATAAATTTTCTCTACTCCAAGATACTTACCAAAAGAAGGCAGCTAGTCAGAATGGGTGGAGTTACTACTGTAGCACCACAAATCATGGGAGGTAACATATAATTTCAATAACAAGGGAAATGGAATAAAAAATACTACAACTTATCTGAACATTGTAGTGAGCCTGCAACAATGTCAGTGAGGAACACCCCTGGCTTGCATGGTTGAGGTACGAGATAAAACCTATGCAGGAAGTATGGTAATAAGCTCGAGAGATGAAGCTGGAGTCCTATAAGGGATCGAACCCTGAAAACCTTCAGTTAAAGGTTTTCAAAGAGAGCAGTTCCTTAAGTACAAGAGTGACCACATGAAGCCGTCTCCTTACTGGTGATGAACAAAAATCCAGCACTGAATGTAATGAAATGCCATTTTCTGGGCAATGCCCTGGAGGTTCCATGATGCTATCCAAACTGATATGTTCTATATTAGTTTGGGGACATCAGTCACAGGAGTTCTTATGCCTACCGGGAACCACGAGCCAGAACCTGGTCCCCTCAGAGAGGCGCAGAGAGCAATGGCGCATGAGCACGTTACATTTAAAGTATGTCATATTCCGCCAGCGACCAGGGTTAGCACCCAGAAAGATAGACAAACCAAAACCAACAACAAGCCAGTAAAATTGTGACTTACAGCCAGTAAGAGCAAAGAAACTCCTGCTGAAAGAAAATAAAATAAAAGAAACTAGCAACACTGTCCCTCAACTAGTACTGCTGCTCGTTAGCATATTCCCCCCCCCCCCCATTTCTTGGCCTCATGTAAAAGCCACCGATTGGAGGGAGGGTGTAAGGAAGTCTCTCGGGGCTTCATCCAGAATATGGCATTTCATTATATTCAACGTTGGTTTTCTGGGGAAGTCCCATTGGCTCCCAGAAGCTAACTACCCACAGATAAGGAAAACAGGGACATACCCAGGAGGCAGCAGCACCGCAGACTCAAGTCGAAGAAGAGACCGACAGTCGCAACAGATGCCCCTAAGCCACACAAGGGTGGAGAGCGCTCTGAATGTTCACTAGATATATGGGGGGCCAGGACCCTGGACTTGTAAAACCTCCATGCTAGAATGTCAACCCAAGACATGTTCCCAAAAACTGCTACGACTGCCGCACACCACTGTACTGCAAGGGCAAGAGGGAAGACCACAGGCTGGATGCACTTATGGATGCTGTGGACAACTTAAGACACACAAGCCAAGGAACAAAGACCCAGGGAAACTGGATCCACCCAAAGTGCGACCACCGTCACTGAACCAGTGGCCTACAGGGAAAGGTGGAAAACCGCCATCAGACAACACTTACTGCACCCCCAGCCTAACCAAACAAGCATCCTCCACCACCACTACTGAACCCCTTCAGAAGCTTGACGTCTCATTCTTCACCAGAAAAGGAGAGGGCTGCAACCAAACAAAACGACTACCTGGACCAAAGGAACAGAACCCCTGGTGCGGAACGAGAGCATGAAGCTCCCCAACCCTAGCCCAAGAAGCCAAGGCCAATAAAAATACAAACGTTAAAAAAACCAGCGTTGAATGTAATGAAACACCATTTTCTGGGTGAGACCCGGAGGCTCCCTGGAGCTACACCGGGCTGATATGCTAATGTCAGACTTAGGCATCAGTCATGTGTATGGAGTTCTTAGGGTTCTTAGAGACAAGGGGAGCAGTGGCCTATAGAAACCCCCGTGAGGTTGGAAGCATTCTATATCTGCCATCGACCGGGTCAGGCACCCACAAAGGTAAGCATCCCAAAACAAACCCCTATTCTGGTTAAAATTGCTACAAAAAACTGAACTAGTGGATAGAACTCCCCAACAGAAAACAAGCAAACAAGTATGATGTCACACATCGCCGCACCTCTGTCTGTGCAGCTCCCCCCTCCCAGCAAGGGAGAAGAGGGAGCCCCAGACTTCTCCCGCTGGCTATCCACCCATCAGTTCTGAGGCTGGATGTCAAAACACGCGAAAAACCGCCGACCTGAGGGAAGGATGGTTGCCGGGAAGCCTCCGAGTCTCACCCAGAAAATGGTGTTTCATTACATTCAAAGCTGGTTTTCTGGGGCAAGCCCCGTCGGCTCCCCGGAGCTAACTACCCACAGAGGAAGGTCAAAGGTCAAAGATCTGGGAGGCGAACACCACACACCCCTCAACAGAAAGAGAGACAACTGGCTGCAACCGCCAACCCAAGGCGACACAGGCCCGAATGAGCCAGGGGAACGACACGAGACAACGAGCAGTCAGGCCCCTGTACGACCGCCAAAAAGTCCCATGCCCGAAGTCAGCAAGGACATGCCGCCAAGACAGCAGCAAGAGCAGCGAAACCACGAACACCACGGGCAAAGAACACAGGCTGGTTAGCCGCAATAACACTGTGGACAACCCAGGACACCTTCTCCCGCAAACAGGGAAGAACGGAATCGGATCAACTGAAAGCGCGCCCAGGACACAGAAGCCGCGGTGCGCAAATAACAGTGGAGGGCCGCAACTGAACACAAAACACGACGCACTCCCGGCCCAACCAACCAAGCACTAATGAACCAAGGATTTGGTAAAACCAACTAGGGGAGAACAGAGAATCCAATGTTTCATCAAAGTTTGCATCTCACCTTGTAAGCATGTACATTACCTGAAGAAACATCCGAACTTCAATATGAATGTACATGGAAAAGCTAAGCCAGGTACAGCAAGACCGGCAAGGAATGAGGGACCCAGAAAGCATGGGAACAAATAACCCAAACACGGAAGACCCTGGGAAGAAGCACGGAAGGGCCGAAGAAAACACCACAAGCGCACTCCAACACGCAACCACAGTATCAAAACCGCAGCAAAACGTCACCACAAAACACCCTTGACACAGGAACATGTACCACACAACAGGCACCACTACTTAAGCACCAAGGAACACGGTGAAGGTGGGACCCTGAACACAAGCACGAAACCTGCATGATACCTGCATGAAGGGGTTCTGGGAGTTCATCTACTCCCCAAGCCCGCATGGGTGGACAAGCATAGAAGAGGGACTGGATGGGCACAGTCAGGAGCCGCCCCGTTTGGGGCGAGAGGTCCCCTGCAGTCACCTGCAGGTTGACGTCCGAATCGGGAGGTTAGGAACAAGAGCTGCCACGAATGGGCCAATAGGCCTGCTGCAGGCACCCCTGTTAGTATGTTCCATGTACTCATGTACGTATGTACTCTCATTCCTACCCCCAAAAACGAACCAGCGCCTGGACGAAGGAGACGCCAGACCGCATAAACTCACCTGTAGAACAGTGGCACAAAAGGGTCAAGACAATGCCACAAGGCCGGTGCCGCCCAAGGCGGCCAGGGTATAGTGCACCCGTAGCCGAGAACAGGGAGCACCACTTGCAGAAGCAGGCCAGAGCCGCCCATGCAGAAGAGGAGGGGGAAGGCGACGGAGGCACCCACTACCTAAAACGCAGGGAAAACCCCGCGTCCTCCCCACGGCGGCACCCCCAGAACACCCTCAGGAGCAACTGGGCATGGACTGGAGAATGAGACGAGCGAGAGGCAAAGCACTCTAGAGGAAATGGATGGAGAACCCCAGCACTGGTGCACACCGTCTGAACCAAAACAAACTCCCACGGCGCATGCGCAGGACACGAACAAAAAGTAGCCCAACAGGACATATCCTGGGCGATTCGCTGAAGAAACAGCCCAGGACGGGAACAGAAGCCAAAAAACCAGCGTTCAATGTAATGAAACGCCATTTTCTGGCTGAGTCCCGAGGCTCCCCGGAGCTATCCATGGCTGATATGGATATCCTAACTATTTTGCATCAGTCGATGTGGGTGGAATTCTAGCCTACCAGGGACCACGAGCCAGAACCTGGCCCCCCCTCACAGACACACGGGGAGCAATGGAACATAGAAATGCACATGTGACTAGGAGCATTCTATATGTGCCATCAACAGGGACAGGCACCCAGAAAGGTAAGCGCCACAAAACCAGCGTTGAATGTAATGAAACGCCATTTTCTGGGTGAGACCCGGAGGCTCCCCGGAGCTTTACCGGCTGATATGCTAATGTCAGACTTTGGCATCAGTCATGTGTATGGAGTTCTAGGGCCTACCGGGGACCACGAGCCAGAACCTGGCCCCCTCAGAGAGGCAAGGGGAGCAATGGCCTATAGAAACCCCTGTGTGGTTGGAAGCATTCTATGTCTGCCATCGACCGGGTCAAGCATCCAGAAAGGTAAGCATTCCAAAACAAACCCCTATTCTGGTGAAAATTGCTACCTAAGCCGAACTAGTGGATAGAACTCTTCAACAGAAAACAAGGAAACTAGTATGACGTCATACGTCACCGCGCCGCTGTCTGCGCAGCTCCCCCCTCCCCGGGAGGGGGAAGGGGGAGCCCCAGACCTCCCACGCCGGCTATCCACCCATCAGTTCTGAGGCTGGATGTCAAAACACGCGAAAAACGCCGACCGGAGGGAGGGAGGGTTGCCGGGGAGCCTCCGGGTCTCACCCAGAAAATGGCGTTTCATTACATTCAACGCTGGTTTTCTGGGGGGAGCCCCGTCGGCTCCCCGGAGCTAACTACCCACAGAGGAAGGTCAAAGGGACAAAACCGGGAGGCGGACACCACGCACCCCCCAAGGAGGCGAGACAACCGGCAGCGAACGCCAACCCAAGGCGCCACAGCCCCGAAAATCCAGGGAACAACACGAGAACCACGAGCAGCAAGGCCCCTGCACGAACACCAAAAATCCATGCCCGAAAGACTGCAAGGCCACGTCGCCCAGACGGCAGCGAGAGCAGCGAAGCCACGAACGCCACAGGCATGAGGGAAGAACACGGGCAGCTTAGCCGCAAGAACACGGCTGACCACCCGGGATACCATCACCCGCGAACCGGGAAGGACAGAACCGGATTAACGCAAAACGCGCTCCGGACCCAAACG